GAGAATGAATTTGCCTCCAGAGGATATGGCTATACCAGAAATAATGAAATCTCTTGAATTTGCATATTAAAAATTTGGCAAATTAAACACGGCTTTCACCTCTGCGCTCATTTCTCCTCTCTGAGGAAAGCTAACACAGAGCCTTTCTGCTTTCTTTGTAAGTCGCCCAGATTTCCCGTGCTGGTCTCAAACCCTGGATGTGAGACGGTGCACTCCGTGTTGTGTCCACTAGAACACAGGGCCTCTGCAGGCACAGGTGACCTGCAGATGGGCTGCACTGAAGACCGTCAGGCCCAGGAGGGAATTGGATTGTGTTTACTTTTGTGCGGGTGCTTTCGTAGGGAATACGGGGAGGAGGACATAGGAGTGATAGCCTCAAATCTCTGCACACACTGCTTAGAGCTGAGGCTTCTTGTGGAAGGGCACAGCCCACTGACAGCACCCATCCTGGCTCCAGGCTTGGAGCTTGGGCTTCCTCTGGAAGTAAACTCTCTAGAATGTTTGAGAGCAGGGATAGACGGAGAGGCAGCAGAGTGTCATCATTAATAACATGAGCTCTAGAGCCAGAAGGTGCAAATCCTGGCTCTGCTGCTTGTTAGCTAGTTGTGGAACCCCTCTTTGCCTTGGTTTCCCCATCCAAAATGGGAAATATGATAGCACCTACTTCAGGATGGTTGTTACCAGGATTTAAGATTTATATAAGCCAGTACCTGGCACTTTGCATTTTTATTCTGGATGATCTCACCCCTAAGCAGTCTAAAAATTTACTCCACACATGTGCAGCAAGAGGGGTCTTTAGGTACATGGTCGGGAGGTGCTCCTGTGTAAGGAAGCTGGTCCTGGAGAGGTGAATTGGAACCTGAAGGCTGCAGCCCCGTCTCTGCATGTGACAGGGAGGGCAGATGGAGGTTGCTGGGGGCTCGGATTCTGTGCCATTCTCTACCCCAGCTTCCTTTTCCATGTCAGCTGCTTCTTGAATACCCCCAAACCCTCTGTGGATGCTGTTAACTGAGCCAAAAAGGAGGAATCAGAAATTGCTCTCTTTTGAGTATTTTGAGGGATGGTGAAACCTTGTAGGAATGTTGCTCCAGGGACTGAGAAAACACCATATGTGGGAAAGCGTTTCTAAGTGAGGAAAATCGCACATGCACGTCGGTCAGGATCTTGGAAAACTCTGAGCAGGGGAAATGGGCACCGGGGAGAGTGTAGAAAGGGGGTTTACTGAGGTCTTTAACAGGTCTTTTTCTAATTATAGCCAAGAAGAGCCTGGGGACCATGGCCGACTTCAGAGCCAGGGCCTGTATTTTCTTTGGGAAAAGAAGGCAGAGTTGATTGGCTTCCAAAACCAGGCTTGGCAAAAGCCCATGCAGGCTCTCCAGCCAGTAAGCGGTGCCTTGGGTAGGTCTATATCGTGGCAGGCGTTCATTCAGTAAATTGACATCGAAACTCCGCAGCGTGTCCAGCCCTGTGCTGGGCGTCAAGGATGTGTGGATGGAAAGGACATGGTCCCTGTCGTCCAAGAGGAGACACACCAACAATAATAGCACAATATGGCAATTGCTTAAATGAAGTTCTCTGCAGATGACAGTGACCCCTAGAGAAAGAGCATAGACATCCCCCTAAATAGAAGAACTCACTGCTGTGCCTTGCCTGGGTGGAGCTAGCACTGCCTTCCTGTTTCCATTCCCCACCCCAGGGAACTGGCCCACTGGGGGACTCCTACCCCAGACATGGAGTGAAAAATGAAGGTACTGGTGGCCAAAAAGTGACCAGAGATCAGAATGCATCTCTTCTTGCCCCCAGCGTATTCAGAAACGCCACCTCGCCCTTGCCCGTGTTTGCTTTCATCATTTGTCTGTTCTCTGGGCTTCCAGTTCATAATATTCCTTTCTTCTCCCACAACCAGTGTAAGTGGTCTGAGATCCAAGCACTCGGGCACTGTGGCATCTGGGGGAAAGCCTTGGTTGGTACAGATTGCTGTGAGCCAGACGTAGAGAAGGGATCTCTCCAGACGCTGGGTCCCTCACCTGTGTGCATCAAGGGCAGAGGTGCACCATCTCCCGTGGCCACAGACCATTCAGGTTCATGTTGTCTAACATGTCTAGTGTGCTCACTCTGTCCCTGATACTATGCTGGGTGCTTCCATGTGGATTTCATTGTTTACCCCTCACAATAACTTTGATGGTGCACAAGCCATGTGATTTTTGTTGAACCGACGAACCAAATGCCCCCGTCACTCTCTGCCATTGTTTAGCAGTCCTTAGACAGCTCACTTCACCACCAGTGTAGGCCTCCGTTCCCTTATCTGTATAAATGAGGGGATTGTCTAGGGTCCTTCCCAGCTGCAAACCTCTGTGTTTTGGGGAGTTCTGCAGCAACATTCTTGGACTTGATCTCTACAAAAAAAGCTAAAAGTAGATTATTGAAATAGAGTCCACAGCAAGTCTTCAGGGCTTTAAGACAGCCTTCTAAAGAGTTTAGAAACACCAACCTGCAGATGACTTACTCCCACTACTTACTACAGAGTATCATGGCGAGTAAGAAAGAAATGGTCAGCCACTGGGAGAGCAGGCTGGGGTTGTGAGGAGGTGGCAGGGGCTGCTGTTGGGATCTTGGGGGAGCATTGTAGAAAAGTCAGCTTTGGTACCAGGCACTGAAAAATGGGTGAAATTTCAACAGGAGAGGCAGTGCACGTGGGTCATGATTCAAGTAGCAGTGAGTAGTGAATGGGGTTGGAGCAAGGGGCCCGTGAGCTCAATCATCACATGGAAAAAGGAGGTGAGGGCCGGAGTGCAGAGAACCCCTCGCACTTTCCTGTGGGTCTCTCCTCTTCTTTAAACCGCATTTAGGTTTTCCTCATCTATAAGATGAAGGAATAAGATTAGATGTCCTCTTTCTATGGCTTGTCTACTTCTAATAAACTTTGGTTCCCTATTCCAGCCACCACCCGTGAAGACTCTTACTTTTTCCTCCTCAATCCATCAGCATCAGCCAGCATTCTCCCTTTAGCTCACCCTGGTCATTACCTCACTCATCTGTACCTTGACTCTTATTCTACCCGGGACCTCCCCTCACTAACCATACTTGATTTATTTCCTTAAGAGCAGATACCCTGTGTATTCTTAGCTTACAGTGGCTGAGCTTTTGGGAGGTGTAATAAATTGTTTTTCAATAGACTGTCAGTCCTAAATGATTTTATTGCAGCTGTACTGTTCTTTTTGGGGGGAGTAGGGAAGGTAATCCTAGTTGTATGCCATATTCTTTGTATTGTTCAAGTTGCATTTTGTTGGGCCTGTGATATTGAAGACAATGTCACTCGTATGCAGAATAGGAGGGAGATTTCTTATGCTATAGAGGAACCGTTTTCCTAGGATAGTACAATTCCTGAGAGTCATTTTCCTCTAAGGGTGAGCAGCAAAGCTAGAATCCCTCTCTTGGCTTTGACCTTGAAGGAGTCAGCTGTTCCCAAGACTAGTTCCCATGGAAAGAAGATGGTCTCCTTATCACAGTGACAAGAGGAGGCAGTATGAGCAGAGTGCGTCACTGTTGCTGACCTCTAGGGATGAGCGAGCCAGCCGTATTTCAGACAAGCTGGGAAGAGGCTGTCTGTGGGTCCTGGGAGCGAGGGAGCACTGGCGGGCTCAGACATAGGTGTTGGTTAGCAGGACTGCTTTTCTGTTTCTTGTGTTGGCTTTGTTTATTTCCTCTCTGTTTTCCCCCTGGACTTAGTGAAGTCTTTCCGAAAATACCAAAGGTGAACCAGGGGAAGAGTTTTCATTTTCCATGTTTAGACAGAACTTTAAATAGGAAATGATGTATGCCCTGGGAACTGGTGAGGTGGTGGCGATGGTAATTAAGGGGTGATTATCTCAAGGAGGTGGAGGAATCAGGGGGATCCCTAGCTCAGCTGCCCCTCTCCACCTGGAGCATCTCCTTCTAGTGCTAACCCTCGGAAGATCTGGGCTTTAGTGAGGGAGAGACCAGCAAGGAAGGTATCTTGAGATCAGCACTGTAATTCCACCAGGACTCCTCAGGAGCCCGGTGTTAAGCTTCTACTATGGCAACAGAATGAGGGCGCCGATGGGTTGAAATGCCGTTTAAACAAGGAAATAGTAGAATTAGAAAGAGCATAATCACTAACAGGAACATTTTGTAGCAGAAATGTTAAAAATCTAAAGGAGGAAAGTGAATCAACAATCACTGTTCTGTTCTGGGCAAGTCCAGCCCATTAATGTGAGGTGGTTATTCTGCATCTCTGTCTTCTGCAAGTCACGCTGTGGCAGGGGCTCTGTTTTGCAGAGAGGGTCCCTGGGGATGGAGCAGATCGGTTGGTGATGCGTGTCTGTCAGAAAGCTCGGCAGAGCACCCTGGAACGCAGGCCCTCTCTCAGAGTGGGTAGTGACCCTACATGTTCATTTCCAAGGGCAGGAGAACAGACCACTCCGGCTGCGACCTGGCCAGGAATGACCCCACATCTGACACTGCAGTATGGGGGCCACTGAACCAGTCCTCAGCCTCAGTGTGTTCCCGGGGCTGCAGCTAGGGAGCAGTCGAACTCTTTCTTGAGACAATTACAAGGCCACCGCTGCTGCTGCTGAAGGGAAGTTACTCCATGCTTACAATTCTCAGGTTTGAAGTTTTCATGCTTTGCCAAGCTAGAGTGAATCATGCATCTTTGCAGGCTCAAGGGATGTTTAAAGAAGCGGTAGGACATCATCCACCCACAAGTCGAGGCTGCAGGATAAAGCAGACATCCAATGTAAATACAACCCATGCAAAAAGCAGAGTCAGCAGACCTGGAGTGCATTCCGCAGTATTTCCCGGGGGTGGGGGAAAGAAATTGCCTCTTCAGAATGTCCAGAGGGGAGTTGCGTTGCTTACCTGGGGGGCAGTATCCTCTCTCGGGCCCCACAGGGATACTCAGCCTCAGGTAGCTGGTGCCAGAATGACATAGACTCAGCTGCCACGGCCTGCTCTTAACACCTGTGTTTCCTTTTCAGATCTTACAGGTGAACAAGGTGATGTCCATCTTGTTTTATGTGATATTTCTCGCTTATCTCCGTGGCATCCAAGGTAACAACATGGATCAAAGGAGTTTGCCAGAAGACTCGCTCAATTCCCTGATTATTAAGCTGATCCAGGCAGATATTTTGAAAAACAAGCTCTCCAAGCAGCTGGTGGACGTTAAGGAAAATTACCAGAGCACCCTGCCGAAAGCAGAGGCCCCCCGAGAGCCGGAGCGGGGAGAGCCCGCCAAGTCAGAATTCCAGCCAGTGATTGCAATGGATACCGAACTGCTGCGGCAACAGAGACGCTACAACTCACCGCGGGTCCTGCTGAGCGACAGCACCCCCTTGGAGCCCCCACCCTTGTATCTCATGGAGGATTACGTGGGCAACCCCGTGGTGGCGAACAGAACATCACGGCGGAAACGGTATGCAGAGCATAAGAGTCACCGAGGGGAGTACTCGGTATGTGACAGTGAGAGTCTGTGGGTGACCGACAAGTCATCGGCCATCGACATTCGGGGACACCAGGTCACGGTGCTGGGGGAGATCAAAACGGGCAACTCTCCCGTCAAACAATATTTTTATGAAACGCGATGTAAGGAAGCCAGGCCAGTCAAAAACGGTTGCAGGGGCATTGATGATAAACACTGGAACTCTCAGTGCAAAACGTCCCAAACCTACGTCCGAGCACTGACTTCAGAAAACAATAAACTCGTGGGCTGGCGGTGGATACGGATAGACACGTCCTGTGTGTGTGCCTTGTCGAGAAAAATCGGAAGAACATGAATTGGCATCTCTCCCCATATATAAATTATTACTTTAAATTATATGATATGCATGTAGCATATAAATGTTTATATTGTTTTTATATATTATAAGTTGACCTTTATTTATTAAACTTCAGCAACCCTACAGTATATAAGCTTTTTTCTCAATAAAATCAGTGTGCTTGCCTTCCCTCAGGCCTCTCCCATCTGTTAAAACTTGTTTTGTGATCTGGCTCTCAGGAGTCACTCTGTAAAATCTGTGTACACCAGTATTTTGCATTCAGTATTGTCAAGGCCATGACTGTCGTTTTAGTAAACTTGTTAAAATCAGATGATGTCAGAGTTGTGTATAAACACAGTTATATCCCTCTTCTGGTACATTTAATGTTGGGTTAATGAATTAAAAGAACTGTTATGGCCTCCACTGAAAATGACACCGTGTAGCTCTGGCCAGCAAACTCTCTATCAAATTCTGTGCTATTTGTTTGGAAAATTAGAATTATGATTTGCTCCAATGTTGTGGTCCTGGAACAATAACAATGACCCTGGCAATTTTAGTTTTGGAAGTTCCTTTGCAGCACAATTTGTTGTTTTGGGGTTTGGGGTTGTTCAAGGGTTTAATTTTTTTTTTTTTTTTTGGCTTTGGTTTTTGTTTTGCTTTTTGCAAGTGGTTTCATCTTTAGGCACAAATAATTTTTTTTAACTATTTGTAACAGAATAGTTGCATGACTACCCAGAAGCAAACTGAAATGGATCGTGAATAATCTACACATAGAGGATAAATTTACTTATGACCGACTTTCAGCCTGTGACCACCCCTCCTCCTCTGGCAGCCCCTTCTAGAGCCGTGAGCAGAGTTAGAAAGTGCTAGAGCTTTGGAGTCGGACCTGGGTTCAAGTTCCAGCTCCTCCCCTGTGAGCGTGTCCAGGTTTTAGAGACTCTCTGAGTCTGTGCTTCCTACGGTCAGAGTCAGACAAGGGTCCTTGCCTATGTCCGAGGAATCCTGAAGAGTCAGGTTATAATCCCTGAAACTTTCTAGCATGGGGCAGGCGTTCAAGAATGTTAGTCCCTCACCCATTCCCTTCCAACCCCCTGAGATGTAAAACGCCCAAATGGAAGGGACCTTCTTGTTCTGAGTCCCAACAGGAGTCCATGACAGCCAAGGGGTCACCGTGGGGATGGTGTCACCTGACATGTGCAGGCAGGACTGAGGGGACACCAGGGATGTCCGTCAAGGAGTTTGTTGATGCCCATTTCCCATTGGGAAGCAGCTCGTCCTCTTGGGGCTGGAATATAAGGACGCTCATCTCCCATCTTGGCAGAGGTGCAAGGTGTCTGCTAATCCAGTACTGCCCTGAAGCCCCGCCCTCTGCCCAACCTGGATTGCCCTGTATTCATCAGGGACCACGTGTGCTCTTACCTCAAGCAGCCTACGCACTGACATCTCCTTAACACACGCCTGTATAGAATGTGTCCTTTATGGGACATGAACTTTTGAATTAGACTCAGCAAATAGCAGTGGCCTTAGGAGCATCATGACACTGCACTTGATCCTGGATGCCTAAAATATGGGGGAAGGAAATAAGGAATTGACCACAAGCCCATCATGGGCCAGACATGTTCAAACCCTGCCACCATTAATTGTCACAAATCCTTTGAGGGAGCCAGTATCATCAGTTTACAAGCGAGGAAACTGAGGCTGGTGGGTTCAACTTGCCCACAGTCATTTAGTAAGTAAGTGGCAGAGTGAAGATTGTAATCTACGTGGCAATGATGGCACAGTCTTGACTCCTCGTCACTAGTCTCTCCCTCTCCTACATAGCAGCATCACATTTCAGAGTGAGTATTATAGTCCTAGAGATATGAAAAACACAGCCCTCTGTGTCGGAAACTTTTGTCCTGTTGTTTCACTGAGCCTTCATCAAGAGCACAATAAACCAGCTGATAGGACAAGGAACGTCTTATGACTAGCCCAAGCCTAGTTATCAGGAGCTTGTCATTTCAAAGTGACCATTTCCCTGGGCGTCTAGTAAGCCCTCCACCCCTAAAACAGCAGGCTGAGGGATACTGCAGCTGAGGCATGTCTGTAAAGCTTGAGTCTCAATTTTTTAGCCAGCACTGCAGGAGCAAGACAGGAACGTAAAGAAGCAGTTTGGTTAACAGTGGATTGTAGAAAGTTGGAGAAACCTGTTGAGGACTTGCAGCAAATGCTACCTCACCTGCCTATCGTATGGCCTTTCTATCCTCAGGCCTACGGTTGAGGTGCCCTTAAGGTCCTCTTCCGGAACTTCTGCGTGGTAGAGGGTAGTCTGGTTGATTAGGGAGATGGTCTTCAGTGACAGGACCCCAGAGCCCAGCCTTGCCAGGCACTGACCCTAAAGAGTAGAGCTGAGTCCTGAGCTCTGCCTGGAATGCAAGGAGTTTGCTGGCTTGTGCAGAGCAAGTCTGGAGCAGCATGCTTCTGGGCAGGTGCAGCTCTGAGGAGAAGAGACTTGGGGATGAGACAGAAATATTCCCAAAAGGAACTCTGGGCTGCAGGCCATCTGATGGCTCAGCTTCACCCATTCGGAAGGCCAGGGCAATGCGGCATTACCCAGTTCCATGTCAATAACGTTATTCAGATGCTGCCAGAGTCAACGTGTTAGCTTTGGGCCCAGGGCAGAGCCTTCTCGAGGTGGATAGGCTATTTGTATCCAAGGTACACATTTGCCATTGGGGTTAGTTGAAGATTAAACCCATCTCTGAGATAGGAGAGGCTTGGAAGGCTAGTATCTGGCTCCTGGAAAACTCCACTCTCTCCTTATCTTCCGTTATTGCTTAGTTTCTTACAGGGCCTTCATTAAGCAGAGGTGTACTGCAGTGTGAAGAACTCGAGTGCACAGGAGAAAATGGGTTGTGGGTCAATTTTATTGCCAATAGCTGCATGACCTTGAATAACTCCCTTGTCCTAACTGGGGATTTAGTACCATGAGATTCTATTGCAGAGAGGGGCAGAGTCCAGATGGAAAATCTTCACTTCCTTAATGAATGCTATGGTGAGAAGCTCTGTTGCCTGTTGATGGGACTCCTTTCTACTACACGTGAGTCTCTAAAATTCTCTCCCCTCTTACAGACTGTGACCTTGAGCTTATTACCCAATCTCTCTGAGCCTTTGTCTACTTGTCTGTAAAGTGGGATAGTGCCTACTTCATAAGATTGTTGGGCAATCTAAGAAAATCATCCATTTCCTGGCACATAAGAAGCCTCCTTCAGTGTTGATTATCATGATGACGATGAGCTTTTGCAGGGTTTGCAGGACCCCTCATTCTGGAATTTTGGTGGGACTTTCCAAGCTCCATAGTGGAGGATTAGTCATACTTAACATGTATTAATCATGGACCTTATGGGAGGTGGACCTTAGGGTGGCATTGGCACATTTCCTTTATACAGGTCTCGTCAACCAAACCACTGGCCCAGTCTTATTGACAAGGCCTTTAATCCTCAGTTGACAAACCAGGGAAGGTATTTCTAACCCTTCCAAGCAGCGAAACGTAATTTTTTGCGAGAAGTTCCTCCGATGTGCCTCTCTGATGTGTACATGTGTGCGTGTGAGTGTGCACGTATGTTTTGCTTCCTCCTTGCAAATTATAGCACGGCTTTGCTCTTGTGTTTCTGTCTTTCAGTTTCTGTCTCTCTCTCGTATTCAACAATGCTTCCTATAGGCTGGTGTTGGTGTTTTAGGGTTTGGTATTTCTGAGGACTTTTCTGTGGCTGTTCCCTTTCCTGTGTTGTGTGTGAGCACATGTGTGTTTATATGTGCTTTATAGTTCATTTAGTCAATGTAAAAATCCTCCACTGAGGCTTGGAGAAGCCATCTGCATGTATTTTATCGCTTTTGAACACGTGTTCAGGAATGAAGGCTGTGTAGTCAGTTTATTGCTACCTGGAGATTTGTCTGGCTTCACCAGGAAGACGCACCTCCTGCCCAGGCTTCAAACTCTGAAGGACCTGGCAAAGCAAATGCCAGGTCCTCAGTGAAGCCCGGCTTTTCCTCGCTGAGCTCCTGCCCTGCTCAGCTGCACCACAGGCTCTGCCTCAGTGAGGGTGCTCTGAAGCCTGGGGAGCGGCCAACTGTCCACACAAACACCCCACTCTCCACAACCCTGGCCCCAGGGCCTTGCACATGCTCTGTTCCACAACCAGGAACAGCCGCAGTCACTGAAGATGGATTCAACTGGAACATTCTCCAGCCTAACCTTCTTTCTCAAAAACCCCACCCCCAAATCTAAGGAGACCCAAACTCCTCACATGTGCCCTGCTCACGTTACAGTGGGCGAGCGGGCTTCTCAAAGAGCACACCTGTTTCACAGCAAGCTGAGATGCAGAAACCTCTGTGCTGACATAGCCCCCTGGGTTTCTGTTTGGTTCGGGTGGAGACTGGCCCGGCTTGAGTGGGCAGAGCCACAGAGCAGGTTAAAAGCCCTCCAAGGGACTATGGGCTTGTTTCCTACAATCCTCGGCCTGTGTTTGGTTGCAGGGTACAGCAGGCCAATGAAACAAGCACAGATGTGCCTGTTGTAGGGGCCAGGAATGGGAGGAGCAAGGAAATGTGGAGAAGGGGAAAACTCCAAGGATGTCAAAAGTCTTTTCTCCTAGGAACCGGCTACCACCAATGAGTTGGGCTGGGTTGAACTGTTGCAGAGTTCAGTAATGACATTGCCAGGTAAATTACAGAAGTCTCTGTGGCAAGAAAATGTGAACGCTTATTGGGAAATTGTGAAACACAGCCTAATGAGTTTGATGATTTTCACGTGAGACATATAAATGGGTGGGCATGCATGCGTGTGTGTGTGTGTGTGTGTGTGCATGGCTGCTTTGATATCCTGACCACGGAGGCATCGCATGTTTTTAAGGAAAGGTAATGCCTGCAAAAGAATGCTCCTGAACACAAGGTTAACCTCTAGGAGATTGCACCAGTGGCCAGCTGGGGAGCATATGGAACGTGAACATTCTTGGGGCTTGAAAACAGGCTGATGGGCTGGAGGATTTATAGACAAAAAAGGCATCCAGCGGACTCCAAGCAGCCAAAACAGGAGTTGGGTTTGTGGGCTCTCTGACTTGGTGGAAAAGCATTCGAAGCTGGTGCTGGGATTAGGGGTGGAGATGAGATCAGACCAAGGAATAAATAATAATAAGCATTCTTACTGGTGGCTGCTCACTCCAAGTTAGGCACTGTGTACACATCTCCATGGGTACGTGGTGACAAGCCTCGCAGATTCAACCCTTTTGTGCGTTGAGGACTTTTGACTGAGGACTTTGGCCTGAAGTTGTACAGGGGGTAAGAGGAAATGCACAGACAGGAACCCAAGAAGTCTACATGGCTTGGAAGCACATGCTCTTAACTATGTGAGTAAGACAGCAATGGAGAGGACACTAAGTGCTTCAGAATTGCAGTAGGGTGGAGGGAGTGAGGAG